TGGGACTCGCGCTCGCCAAGAGGCGTTGATATGACACTGTTCCGTTTCAGTCAGTGTTCCGCCACAGCTCCACGAGCGCTCGCGTACTCGCGATTCATTGAAGCCGACTGAATCGCGAATCGCCACTCTCAAATTTGACGAGCAGGATCCAGCCCTAGTAGGAGGTAGGTTAGGTATAAAAATATGAGAGGCATGTTGACACAATCCACGAGTGGAGATGCCCGATTGACACAATCCACGAGTGGAGATGCCCGATTGACACAATCCACGAGTGGGGATGCCCGATTGACACAATCCACGAGTGGAGATGCCCGAAAATAGACACATCAAATCTCTAGGTTTTATGCTCTTTTCCATTAAGTTAAACATATCTTTTGTCTTTTCATATAACACGCTGTACAAACCCAATCTATAAATTCCTTTTATCTTTCTGTGTCCTGAGGATTGAAATCAGGAGATTATACTCTTTTTTTTTTTTTATTGCACACCTCACATATAGGCACGCACGAATCGATGAACCAAAAAGGTACTAACAACAATTAATATGCGAGTCGAGCTTACAAAATGAGTAACATCTCACAATCCACAAAAGGAGATATTGGCCCAAAATCGACATTAGGGTAAAATTTGTAGATTTTCCACCAATGCCATAGTGTGTGGTGGAATCAGGCTCTCGTCAAAACTATCAAAGTGAAAAAACTTGCATTTTTCCATAGGTTTCTAATTTTTTATCAAATTTGTGTTTTTTGGCTCGACACCTTTCAAACCCATTAAAGAAATAATTTCTGAGTGGATTTTTCTGAAAAAAGTCCATAAAACGCACAAAAACGTAAATTTTCTGTTACCACCGACTCTTACTCTTAAGCTAAGGAAATAACTAATCTTTGGCGGTCATTTTCTCACTAATTTTACCTCTGAAAACAGGTAACCAACCCCACCTCCTTCATTCGCAAATATCTCGATTTGTATTCAAGATAAATGGATATTTCTACATCCAAATAAACACAAATGAACAACCTATAAGATGATACTGATAACTCTACATGCCCAGAAATTGACGAGAGCCTGATTCCACCACGCTGCCTCTACTCGCCATTATTATTCTGCACCTATGATGTATCTATTTCCTTGAGGCTTGAATACGAGAAGTAACTCATTTTGTCAGCACTCTTCACTTATATTTCAATCAACACAAGTAGTACAAAACAGTACAGGAAGTGGCCAGGTGGTTTGCCAGAGGTGCTCTGGTGTGGTTTGATCTGTCTTCCCTATCAAGCATCTGTCGTCCTTCTATCTCTCCTCCTATTTTGAGCGTTTATTGCTTTCTCCTAATACCTCCACTCATCAGCACTTAATATGACCTAATTGTGCCGTAAAACTCCTACTAACACTTCAAACTAAACTAGACAAGGAAGTAAGAGCATTAAATAAACACAAATACAGTGCATACATAATTAAGTATCGTTTAATTGATCTTTAAATAACGTAGGTGCTCAAGATTTTAAAATAAAAGCCACAATTGTTGCAAAAAAGGGTAATAATATGATATAGGAATTCTGAATATCAATATAATTAATCATACATGATAAGCTTATGAGAACAAACTAAGACATTATTAACTGTACAAGACCAAAATATGAATGAAAAAAGCCCATATTTGCCCACTTATGTTTAAAAATTATTGTATGCCAAACGAATGGGGGAGGTGACTCCCAGACCATAATAATTATAATTATGCCTTATCTTCCTTTATTATTTCTTTACATTTTTATTCCATTGAAATTTGTTCCTTCCCTCTAGCTTTTTTTTTTAATTCAGAAATCTCAAAGCATCCTCCATTAAGACAGAAGGTCCTAACTGGGGGGGTTCGCGTCGGGCAGAGGAGGGTTGTTGGACTGGAGCGTACAAGGGAGGCAGTTAGGTGATAAAATTTTCTCCCCTTAATTAATTGATAATTGATGAAAGTTGTACTCATCTACCCTGCGATTCATCATCGGGTAATCAATTCAGTGATGTTAAATTCGTAATATTTTTCCCAACACCCAATTACACAGGCATCTGCGATGTAGTGGTAGATTATATAAATGCTCTGCCGTCACATTCGAGTTCAATTCCTGTGTGGGATCATGTGAGAGGCATCGTGGTGAAATCAGACGCTTGTACTGATATCGAAGATATCGGCATTTTCCCTCCATATTGACCATGGTTTTTTTTCCAATTTATTTTTTGGGGCTCAACACCTTTTACGGGCATTTAAAAACATATTTTTGTGTGGATTTTACTGAAAAACATTTATCTAAGTCACAACAAACAAGTGTAAATCAAGCTTTGGAAATCATCAAACTTTGGCGGCCATTTTCTCGCCAATTTTACATTTGAAACCAAGCAACCCCGACCTCCTTTAATCGCAAATATCTCGACTTCTATTCAAGATAGGTGTGTATTTTTTTATTGAAAGATGGTCAATTGAACAAGTTTTAAGATGATACCAATAACAAGCTACCGCGACGTGACACATTTCTTTTTTAAATACCAGGGGGTCAATTTTATGATTATAAATGGAATTTGCATGAGTAATTTTCAACACCCAATCACATAAACATACATAAACGTATATATATACATAATAAGCTTGATTAAAGATTAGCTGCACTATACTGTATCTCAAAATTAAGTGTTAACACCAACTATTCTTACACAAACATTCATCAGATTAGCATAACATTAGAATTGTCGAGTAATAATTATCCATATTGGGTGTACACAGTTTTGCAAAACGCTAAGCTTAAAAAAAAAGGAGAAAAAAAATCTAGGACAAAGCATGATGAGCTCAGATATATGTCTTTTATTTCAAAGGATGGTAGAAAATAATAGATATATTGACCAAAAATATAAAAAGGGTAGAACACCGCTGGTTCAGGGAAAAAGAAAAAACATTTCTAAAAAGGCACTTGAGGTCAAACTGGGTACTTTTGGCATTTTGTTTTTAAAAATGAAATAAGGAGATTTTTAGGATTTTTATTTAAAGCCCCTTGCTACACTGTAAGGCTATTTTTAAATGAAGGAACCTTCGAGTCTGACGTAATGTCTTTCCCTGATGGGACGGAGTCAATGGTGAAAATACTGACCCAATCTTTTTGCTGTCTATGGCTGGGAAACCCATTCACACCAGGGTAAAGTGAGGAAAATTTATGCAAAGTGCCTTTCCCAAGATCACAACATGAGACTGAGCTGAGCCTCGGAGCCCCTGAACACATGATCTTACGACTATGAGTTCCGTTGTCTAACCACTACACAAATAAAGCCATACAGCTATCTTTTAGAAGATATTTTTTTTTTTTAAACAAGAAAGAATTTAGTCTCAGATATTGCTTGTTAAATCTGGTCATCATAATGTAATATGTGAGGCAGCATGGTGGAATCAGGCGCTCGTCAAAATAATGAAAGTCAAGAAACTGGCATTTTTCCACATGTTTGGGAATTTTTATAGCCCATTCAAGTACGCATTTCTTTGTAGATTTTACCGAAAAACGTTGACCAAGACACAAAAGATGTAAATTTTCAGTTCCAACGGACTATCCAGCTGAGGAAATAACTCAACTTTGGCGGCCATTTTCTCGCTTATTTTACCTCTGGAACCAGGCAATCCCCACCACCTTCAATCGCCAATATCTTGACTTGTATCCCAGATAAATGGATATTTTTTAGTTCAAAAGCAAGGCAAATGAACAGGCTTTAAGATGATACCTATAATTCCATATACTGCAAAATTGACGAGTGCCTGATTTCACCTCGTTGTGACTATGTTAACTGGGTTCAAAATCAGTCTCAACTAAATTACAACAATAAGGTGATCTCTGTAAGGTGAAATGAAAGTTGTGAATAGAGTAAATAATATATATATCATTATGTCAGAATATCATTGTAATAGATGCAGAAATATCACTTCAAGAAGCTTTAGGGTAAAATAAGTAAGTATGTAAGTACAAGCAAGGGTTTTTCACTTCTTTGAACACGGAAAGATTATTCAAATTTAAACGGAAGGCTGGATTTCATTTTATATCCTACACCTCTAAAAAAAACCTCGAGAAGAGTATGCCTACAGGCATGAAAACCACAAAAAATAACTCCAAGCCTGTCTGAGAGAGGGTTTTAATTAAGACTGTCAAAACTTCACAAGGCCTACAGATAACGTGGCAAAATACCAAAACAAAAGTAAAATTAGGCCTTTAGTAAGTAAGGTGTAATTTATTCACAAGGTAGAACCCTGTTTACAAGAAAAACAACAGCAAACCAACTCGAAAAACAATTCAGGAATGATAACAACCAAGGAAAGGTAAAATACAAGCTTTCATAAGAAACCCACTTTAAAAAATATAGCACCTAATCTGACATTTGGATTTATGTTTTCATGTTTTAATAAGCGTTTTATGGCATTTGCAACACAGTTAAGTGTTATAACTGCCAAAGATAAGAGGTTTATGAGAGAGCAACATATAAAGAAAAGAATGAGGAGAGATGAAGACGACAGATGTTTGATGGGCAAGAAGAAGCAGAATTAACCACCCCAGAGCACCTACAAACCACCCATCCTCATAAAGGAGAAAAAAAAGTCATATCCTTCAGAAATCGGAGAAGAACGCTAATCCCAAAACAACAAACACCAGTTAAATGTTAGAAAATAAAAACGTTGTGCAGTCAATCTGCCGACTTAGAATCTAATTTCCACTAGCATGCATAGAAAATTCTGTCTTGGAATGGCTCGTATCTCAAGGAACAAACAATATCAGTATGTTCTCGGGGTCATCAAGTAAGGGCCTAACCACTGGTCAACAGGAAGTGACAGCACACAAGACACTGCAACTGATATACATCAACTGGCAGACGTCAACTAACAGACGTCAACTGATAGACATCAACTGACCAAAGTAAACTAACAGTCATCAATTGACATAAGTCAACAGACTGAAGGCAACTGACAGAAGTCAACAAATAAAAGTCAACAAGTAGAAGTTAACTAACAGAAGTCAACAAGCAGAAAGTCAAGTAGCAGACGTCAACTGACACAAGTCAACTAGCAGACGTCAACTGACACAAGTCAACTGACAAAAGTCAACTGACACAAGTCAACTAGCAGACGTCAACTGACACAAGTCAACTAGCAGACGTCAACTGACACAAGTCAACTGACAAAAGTCAACTGACACAAGTCAACTAGTAGAAGTTAACTAACAGAAGTCAACTGACACAAGTCATCTGACAAAAGTCAACTGACACAAGTCAACTACCAGACGTCAACTGATGACCTAGTTCAGAGCTTGACATATTTAATATGTTTCTTTTATGGATGAAAGTCCAAAACCCAATCTGTACAAAAGTCAACAGATACTGCATTCAAGAACGTTCTAATCAACCAGAGGAGAATAATTTGACACCAGGAAACTACTGTACACTTAGATGTGGATAGACAGCTTGATACACACTCACTCACTCAGACTATGACAGAAATATTTTGGGAGAAATTTCGAATAATTCACCCTGTATCATACGTAGATTACTCTCCATGTCGATACCGTCTTAACGGTAGGCCCTATCATGATGTTATAACTTTGACCACTCAGAAATATACTTCACATCTTTCCCTCAAAACTGAGTTTTGCACTCAGTCAAAAAAATGTGCAGTACAAGCCATGCGCTAAATAAAAGTAAAAAACAAACTGATTTGCTCAGAATATCTTGGCCAGAAATTTTTTTTTCTCCATTTATATAAAGAAGAAAATCACAATGGCACATCCAGGAATGAAAGCAGGCCAATATAACTATAACATTTTTTTCTCCTTTTGGCATCTTCTCATAACTGGGAAATTTGATTTAAAAAGAGACTACAAGGTGCAAATTTGAGCAATAAATGGCTACAATCCTTCAAAACAGAATGGCTCTCAACTTTCTTCTTATGATGTAGGATATCATGTGCGATTTGGGAATAATTTCTCCCTGTATGGTAGTTTTTAAAGAATTAATTATATGTATCTCATTGCGGTTAAATCAGCCACTCGTTAAAATAATGAAACCGAAGAAGTCGACATTTTTCCGTATCTTAGAAAATTTCTATCCAATTTTTCATATTGGACTCAATATCAAGGATTGCGAAGGGGGTTATTTCTAGACTTTAATATGTCTGAAATTTAGAAAACTCAAATAAGCAACAATGCTACATTTTAATCAACTGCAGTAACAGGCACGATGAAGAGCTACAGTATCTGTTAAAAGTATTTCACTATCTAAACACACCAATTCGTATTACAAACTTTAAAAACGAGGAAGCCAATAAAGCAAATCATGTACAAAACAAAATAATTAAAAGCCTGAAGTTGTCCAAGACAGGATGAAAGTTGACCTCGATTTAGTAAAATAATGTTGCATCATCATTATATTCAATATAACAACAGAGGGGTGAAAATAAAAGGAAAAACAAAGTTTTGAATAACCTGGGGTCTAATGAAAGCATCTCGTCAAGGAGGAAAAACAAGAAACAAAGTTAGGCAGTATGTCAAAATATCAACAACATACTCTGGTGGTAATTTGCAAGCAGGAATACAAGCTGCCTTAATCATTACAAAAGAAATGAAACATTCAGAAAAGAGTTTTGGATATGAAGTTCAACTTCATGGGATTCACTTCGACTTGTGATCCTCTTTCATATTCTTTCAAACATATTTTAAACAGGTATCATAATCTTTGACAAAAATTTCAACCAAAAAAAAGGTAGGCCTATCATAATCTTTCACCAAAATATCTCAACAAAAAAAAAGGAGGTAGGCCTTTCTTAAACTTTCACAAAAATTTTAACACAAAAATGTCAACAACAAAAAAGTATCATAGTGGTCATCACATTAAGAATTAAAGACCATAAAATGAAGCAAAAACAAACATATTTAAAAATATATAGGGCTACCATTTATTCAAACAAATATATTTTGTATGTTGCAAAACAAACCAAAAAAAATCCTATTCCAGGATGAAGGTTTACATCCAAATAGAGATAACATCTTATTTTTTGAATGCCTTGTTTTATTTCTTATTTATTGCTTTAGGTATTCAATCAATATCTATTTGCACTCAATTCTCTTCACTTTCTTATTCACAATGGTAGTTAGTAACGTTCAACAGTTCTGCAACGGAACTCTTAAATTTCATCATATGAATAATTCTAACGTTTTTAAAAATCAAAATAATCAAAATTCTAAAGTTCGTAGAAAAGGATGCGTGTGTGCTCTTTGTGGTTCTCGACAGTCATAACGATGAGGTTCTAGAACAATTGTCGTCTCATCAGCATCATCACCACAGAGAACAAGCCAAGCATTAGGCCGCAGAAGGAGGTCTTCACTGAAAACAGAACATGCGAGAAGTAGGTTTAGGGACAAATGTACCACTGGAGCAGAGAGGGTTTACAGTAACATTAGGCCTACTGTATTACTGTAAAACTCTCTGACTGGAGTCTATGGTGCTATAGCAGTTGTTAGGCACTTCACTATCTTGTGCAGAAGACCCGAATTCTATTCCTGTGTAGGTAGAAATTTTAAATAGAGTATCTCGAGTTCCGCCGGGACTTTGTATCCGTTTGGGGTTTTTTTTAGTTATCGCAAGTTTTAAGCACTTGCAACACAATCATGTCATATAAGTGCAAAATAACAGATGTGTTACAAGAGACTAACATACACAAAAAAGGAGGAGAGATAAGGAAGACAGATTTTTTATATAGGATAGAAAGTGCAAACCACACCAGAGCACCCACCAATCATCCAAACAGGCAGAGTTGAAGCCTACCTCCTTAATGATCTTAACTGTGTAAATAAAGGTGTAAAAGAACACATACATTTAAAAGAAAAAAAGTAGAATATTCCTCTGTTCTATTCCACATTACAGATTTACCAGTGTGATGTTTTCTCAAGGCAAAGTTTTTTTGTTGTTGGGGGGGTTTTTTGGGGGTTTTTTTTTTGGGGGGGGGG